AAAATAGATTGCGATTGCAATACAGCATATTGAATGGTCCAAATGAGCACTCTATTGATTTAAATAAAATATATTTTTCTGAACAAAAAAAAACATTTGAAACTATACAGAGCAGAGATCACTCTGTATAGTTTCAAATATGTTTTTTTTTATTCTTTGTGTAGACATCGTTGCCCTACAAATACTTTACAAAACTAATAACATTTTATAGAAATGTTGTATGAAAGTAAAATTAAAGTCAATTATCTAAATGTCACGACTTTAAAATCGTGGAAAGTTCAAATTGTAAGAATACCGGCTAGACTAAACCGCTACGGAATGAACGGTATTACGATGATACACAAAAACGATACAGACAGTCATATAAATATAGTGCAATTAATGCGATCTTCATCTGCCAATATTAACGCAATTATTCACAACCCAAACAACGGAGTCGAAATAACGACCTATAGAAACTATATGATTCATTGGTGTTTTTTTACAAGAATTTCTTTCATGCCCGCGAGTAGAAAGTATCATTGTAAAGAGCCTAATTATCAATTGAAAATCTTGTAATGAATGCGGTGTGTGGTGTTCGGTAGCGCACAAAGCGGTTGGCCAAAGATGGCGGGCGCGTTTGATGTGCGCGCGCGCAGTCGGCCAGTACCATTCTCTTTTTGAATATCGAATCGCCTTTTAATTCGGTGGATAATATTTCATTTTACACCTAAGACAAAAGTGAAAGAATTTAAACTTACATTACATAGAGCTTATTCATATTACGCCAGGTATCCTATGAACATGTCTCTATCTTCAGACATTGTCACATCACATAGAGTAATTTGCCTTTACATCACCTAAGAATTACTGGTCGTAATACGTCAAAGGATATAAAAAAATAAAAAAAATAAGGACCGTTTATTAGTATAAACGGTCCTTATGATTTTATTATTTTTAATAATTTTTAACTAATATTATAATATTAAAGTTATTAAAAAATCAAAGCTGAAGAGTTTGGTTGTTTGATTGTATTTAATCAAACAACCAATCGTAATCTAAAGTAATGGTTGTAATTGAAAAAATGTTTTTGTGTTGAATCATATCATATCATGCTACCCAATAGAAATAGAGAATTAATGAAATATGTTGCAAAAACGGCAAAAACTTATTCCTTTTGAAAGCAGTTGTGCGGATCTAGCTAGTTAGTATACCTATATCTACAGCTCTGCGTACTCGTATATGTATAATGTTCTATGGATAATTTCAATTGAGCTTATATCGTAATTTGACAATCTCTGTGGTCTAACGGTTTCACACCACCTTACTTTCGATACTTTCGATGTCGAATCCTTGCAAGGTACCTACAAACATTTGTATTTAGATTGTATCCGAGTATTTTCTGTATACATACCATATGTATTTAAAAAAAGTATATATGTATTCATATCAGATGTCTAGTATCCTTAACACAAGCTCTGCTTGTCTCAGGACAAGATGGCGCTGTGTTAATTGTCCTGAGACATTACTTCCAATAAGGAAAACGAAGATATGGTACCTATATATTTTCTTGTTTATGCACATATATAAACGGCTTTTGTCATATTTGCCCGATTTTGAAATGTCACTATGTACTAATCTATGTGGGTTTTTTTATTCTATTATTTATGTCCACTTTTAAAAACAGACGAGTGTTTGAGAACAAAATTGCATATTTCGTAAATGTAAAATAATTGAAATGACAATTTGGACTGACGATTAGTAGGTAACGGTAGGTAACGGTTACCTTACCTACAGAAATCAACGCATACAACATCTTAAATAATTTACTTTTATACATATATTAGTGACTTACGAAATCTAGTTTATAAGTTAGTTTAGTTTTAAATCTAGTTTCTAGTTTAATCTAACATATCAAAATTAAATCACACCTTCATTTACATACTCACATACTTTCGTTTTCTTTTATTGTAATAACCCAATGTATATCAGACAACTTTTATAATTAAAAGAGAGGTGATAATATATTTTTCCCGCATTCCATAAACGGAGAGACCCTCGGATGCCTGTAGATTGGACTCGTGTACTCTGACAGCTTGAACCCGAGACCTCACCACTGTCACTGTCCGTCTACTGTACCGTCAGAATATTAATGTTATTTTATTATTATAATTATATACTTCACGACCGCCATCCCAGACGGGGTGTTGCTTGTTAATTTATTATTGATTATTGTATTAATTTTTCGGTCTAATTTATTAGGTTTTAATTGTAATTTATGTAGTGCGGGATACCTAAATATGTTAATAAAAATGTTATCAAATTAATAGGAATAAAACATATTAACAAGGGCACGGACAAATAAGTGAAAACAATCCCAGACAGAGTTCAGAGATGTATTTCAATTCATAGTAGTATCTGTACCGTCTCTCGAATTAGGTTTTTATCTGGATCTGTATTTCATTCAGGATTTCTATTTAGATCACCGGAGATTAGTAAAGAATATAAAATATACATTTTTTTTGCATTTAGATTACTGACCTTTCGATCTATATATATTCGATACTTAGACTAGTACGTAATTTCAAGCAAAAAAAAAAATATATATGACGACTTCAGTAGTCACCGCTTTACGTCCAATGATCGCAAATTCAATCCTCGTACAGTGCAAATATTTGTATTCATGAGTATGATTGTTTGAATTGGTCTGGGTATTTTCTATGTATAGTATATATGCATTTACAAAGAAATATATACCAATGTATTTATATCACTTATCTAGTACCCATAACACACGCTCTATTATTATTAACAATTCTCTAACAATTACAATGTGATCGCACACATTGTTTTTAACAGTTTCATATACAATCCCTAGAGTGTCAGTTTCAATCATTTAATTTAAATTGAAACATAGAAACAGTGTTACATAGATGAGCTATCTATATGAAATGATACGAGTAGCTCCTGTATGTACCATTTTGTAACAATTATTTATTCAAATAAAAGGCTAACTTTAATAACCGATGAGTGAAAGAGATAATAGAATCTAAGAAATGTCCTACAAGTAATACTTCTAGAAATTGAAATAATTTGGAATTGAATATGCTGACGGTAGACTGCGCGAGCGCATGAGCACGGGAGCTTCACGCATGACGGGCGCAGCGAGGGGCCAATCTCTTGTTTGTGAAGATAATCTCACTGTCTGCTCCAACTATACTCACTACACCCAACTATAATTATGTCGTAATACACTAATAACTTGTGTGTATGTTATTAATATAAATAAGAGATAACTTCTTAGATATATTGCTAGAAAAGTTTACAAAAAGTTTAATTAATTTCTTTACATTATATTTTTTATGTAATTGGCATGCAAACGAAGCTGACGGCCCATCTGATGGTAATCGTCAGTCAGTCAGTCAGTTTATATATATAGACATATAAGCTGTGCCTGCGGTTTCACCCGCATAAAACAATAGTTATAAAATAAAATAGCGTAAGTTAGTCCCTTATAAAGCTAGCTTGAAGTCTAAAATAGGTGAGACAAATTTGTTAACATTATATTTACTTTTGTATTTACTTTTGTCGCTACAGAGAACATATAAAGAATACTGTAAAAATAAACCGACTGGCAAATACATACATCACACAGATGGCTGGAACAAGGAAATGAAAAAATAATTACATAGTTTGTAAATTATAGTATATATTAGAGTCAATGAAAATAAATAGCATATCCAAGATAAGAATAATAATGTAATAAGAATAAAATAAAGCAATAATCGTAGTCATGCATTTTTAATTAGTTGTGGCGTAATGATCCCAATTATTTCATATATATTCTTTGTAGGTGTAGTTTCAATCAAGAGAGCTTTCTCTTTGATTCCTTTTTTAATCTCTTCTAATCTAGATTCCTTTGTTTTAAGGGAAAATTTACCTTCCTTTGCAGGGTCCAATCTCCCAGCTCCACCACCCCTTTTACTGGACCACCTTTGTCAGAAACTGGCGCATAATATTTCCAATGATCATACGCAGATGTAGTGGCACACAAGTTGATTTTCAAATACGGATCTTGAGGTTTAGATGTCTTTGATATGTCAACAAAATCTTTCATATTGTTCAATCCTGAATGAAGTTGTTTCCTTGCATACTAAAATACCTTGACGCACCGGAAAATTTGGGTGGATGCACACATTTTAAACAGTATGTAAAATTTTTCAGTTCATCAAATTTAAATGTATTGTTTGATTGAGACTGAAGTTCTCTCAATATCTGTCCAAAAATCCTTCTCGTTGCTCCATAGATAGACATCCTAGTTTTATTTCAGAAGTATTTTAGAACAGATAATGATTGTATAGATTACAACTGATAATTTTTATATTTCTGATTAAAGAAACGCCATGTTGTTTATTTTTGACAATACCATTTTGGTATTGTCAAAAATAATCAACACTAAACAACTTATGTATAGAATTTTATAGACAAAAATCAAAGTTGAAAAACGATTTGTACAATAGTTTTGTTAATCCTTATTTTGCCAACAATTTTAACTAAAATATATATAAAGACTGTATCAGCATTTTCTGTCCTGTTATTTATTACATTTCTCTTCATCATCTACAATTACAAGTCCACTTATTATGCATGTATGCAGGCTGCAAAGCTTATTTAATCTTTCCTAACAATATTGATAGTTCTTTTAATGTAATCACTTATTAACAAAAATATAAACCGTCGTAGAAAAATTAAATTATAATTAATCAATCCTTCTTTTTAATTTAATTACATGAATTGCATCCTTTAATGCTCTCACGATTTGTCTTTTACGTCATTATTTCATTTCATGTAACAAACAAGTTAAATTTTTTCATGGAGAAAATGCCTTTTCTAATCATAAATATATATATAGTCGTATAAAAATGGAAGGGATAGTAGATATAAAATATTTCATCTAATATAGACTAGGCTATAAATAATCACGAGTACCTTTTATCTGATTATGTAGAAAATCAAAATACTATATTTCATAGACTTTATTCCTATATTTACTGATACATGTATCATCATATATATTTTTTATTTCACTTTTCTTCTTTCTGCGACACCTCGTTAGTGCTCTGAGTTTCTTTTTTCAACTTCTTTTTTATCTTTTCCAATTGCTTTCTTTGCTTATTAAAAAAATATCCTTCTTCTTGGGCAGCTCCATATTGACCCAGTCCTCCTCCAGATTCCCTGACTGCTCCACCAGAACCTCCACCTTTACCAGCACCAGAGCCAGGTGTCCCAGGAATAGTATAGTATCTTCTAGGAATAACGAAGCTATCTGAGACGCTAGAAGACTCAGTTGCAGTCTTACTTTTGTTGCATAACTTTCTGGTATATTGAGGGACGCAAGCTCTAACTATATTCATGTTGCAATAACTATTTCAACTATTAAATCGCAATAATTGATTACTACCAATATTCTTTTCAATTAGATTCAATATTATTTTATAAAAGTTTATTACTAATATGTATACACAAATTTTGACAGTTAATTTTGATAGGAAAAGGAACTGTTTTTGCGTCATCTAAACTAGGGTTTACATATTACTAACCAGTACTAATTACTAATTTTGTTAAGTACCTACTTTATTTTCCAAATAGATGCTGTAAGCTGTAGGAAGGCATAATATTTAATTTCCGATAAGAGTAATAATATTTCATTTTCGACAATTACTTTCGAATAATTACTATGTGTATGTCTAGGATATTATCGAGTCAGTATACCAAATTTTGTTCCCATCTGTTCAGTTTGTGGTAATAATTTGGCAATACGCCATCGTAGTTTGTCTCCGGGAACACACAAGTCAGAGACATGTTTCTGACACTGGATTGGCAATGATTTTAAATTAGTGACTAGTACTTATATAAACACCACTAATTATTATGTATCATTAATTATTATAAATATATTGTACACAATTACTAGGTAGTTTTTAGCCGTCCTATTATCTACATAATCCAATCTACAACGTCCTATAGTACAATGTGCAGGGTCCTTAGCGTTCCCAACGACTCACGCATGCCGTAACTCCAAAAGTTATTTATTTAAGTATTATTGAAAAACAAATATTCTATATACTTTTACAGTATTATGGATAGACATATAGTTACCTAGTATATACTTATATGTATAGAAACAGTATCTGTATACTATTTATTGTTCCCTTCACCCTCTTTTATTATTTTCAAAGACAATAATTTATTACTTACTAGAATATTGACTGACATGTAGACACCGGTAAGTTGCGCTAAATCTGAGAAGAATTCGAGCTGCCAACCTAATTAAAAGTGTTTGTGATGCAAATTATTGTTATTAGATTATCCGTTAACGTGTCGACCATATGGTATTAGTTCCACAAAATTACCTAATTATGGCTAATTACAGAATTTCTCAGTAATTATTTTTTATGTATAAATACGTGGTGATATATGTGACAATTAGTTTGGGGGTAGCTTCTAATACTAGATCGGTTTGCTACCAAAATGGAAACGATCCAGGTACGTTTTTGTTTGTATTTTTTTTTTTTCACTAGTATCTTGCCCCGGTATAGCCCACCTTGCTCATTTATTATTGTTTATTTTTGTATATAATATCTACCAAAATTTCTCAGTCATTTTTCTAGCTCCCAACTGAACTCTCAGTTATTATTTTACTAAAAATAAAAAAATACTTCAATTTATAAATAATTGAATTCAAAATAATCGTCTCTTTCAGAAACTGCTGTTACTATCTTTGGTTTCATCAGTTCTGTATACCAGGTAAATAGATTCTACTACTTACGAGTATAAGGCTATTCATGTTTTTCATATATTAATAATGTTATAATTGTTATTATTAAATTTATTCAAAACACTTATTTCAGCAATGCACAATGGTCAGCTAAACGTCATATTACATCTAAAAAAACAATGGATATGCAGCATGAAAGATGCTTTTGTCCAATATTTAAAAACCATAACATATTCATCCCAGATATTTTGAGCGACGACGATTCAACATTTGAAAGGCTTGTAGTCTACTTTTACAGGGGTAGAGATGGTAACATTGTAATGTATACACCAAGTGCGGAAACACAGAGGGCTATGCTAGAAATACCACTCGAATCTAACGACGATTTACAGGTTATTAGTTCACAGACAGTCACACAAATATTCGAGCATAATCCCCGCGTTATCAATATAGAAAAAACCAAATCTCTACATTATGATTACACCATTAAACCGGGTAGTTTCCCTGTCAATAACAAGGGGCCTATTGGGGTTAATATTGGTAGTATTCAGAAAGAAATATTGAAACCAGGAAAAACAATTAATTCAACAAATTCAGAAACAGGACACTCAAATTCTCAAATTAACACACAATATATGTATAATCCACCTAAATACGACATAACACAAGTGACATCTAGTGTAAAAGAAGTATTGCACCATCCATCATCGCAAGAGAATAATGTACCTGCAGGCATATTTGATAACGTAGCACCTATTAATCAACTCATAAAAGATAGAGATACTATTTCATTTCCATGGTTTCAAGGAAAACAGAAAGATGTTCTTTGGCCTAATAGAGAAACTAGCTCTATGCATCATACTAATATTGCTGAACATAGTTATAACGTTGGATATGGTATATATGACGATACAAAGAATAATAAATATGAGACTAATACATTTAATACATGGTTCAACGAACAAGCGAAACTGTTCCCAGAATTGAAACAACCAGGATCTAGTGACATTATAAATATTTCTATGCTAAAAAAAGAAATCTTGAAAATTATTGAACAAAATAACATGATCATTGGTGAGGACAGTCTGGTGCGAGATTTAAATGGAGCATTAGTTGATATGAGAAACATGAAGCTTCGTCGAATCGTTATTGAAGAGAAAACGGTTACTGACTATAATGGTCCCTTGTTAAGTTTAGACGGAATAATGATTACACTTGTGTATCCTCCAAGAATATTGGGCATAATTCCATTGAGAAAAACATATTTTTCTGAGGAAGTAAACAAAATTTCACAGTCCCTTGATGCATCACAGCTACATGACTCACCGAAGCCAGTTCAATCAACACAATTACTTCAATCTACAGTATCGAAAAAAATTGAAACATCACAATCTGTACAGTCATCTAAACCAGTTGAACATACCAAAATCGTTGTAAATAAAGTATCACATAATTGTGAAGGATCTATCTGCAACGAAGGATCTTTAAATGAGCTGCCTGCTAGCGGAATTATTACAGAAAAGACTAAATCAACAACAGTAGTTAATAGTCAAACTAGTAGTCAAAATATAGAAAACAAAAATGAAAATGCGAACCTGTTACAAAAGAGAAAGAAACAAGACACGAAATTACAGATGAGAAAACAGTCGAAAAATGATGATTCACCGTTTAAATTTGTAGCAAACATGCTAGACACATACAAATTAATGCCTATTGATCAGATATCCAAACTGGTGAATAATTTTATTAGTCCTTTTACTACTATAATGAACCAGTCTTCTGCCACTAAAGAAGAAACCCATGAGAAAATTGGGGAAGATGACTATCCTGATTTTAGAATAATTGGTGGGCACGCAGCAACAGCTAGTGGAGCACCATTAATTACAAGAGGAAGATCTGGATCCTTCGGAGTTAAATTTTAAGATAATAAGATTTTAATGATTAATTAAAATACATTCTATCTAATATACTACCATAGCTACTACAAATGATGTAATAGTGTAGTAAACTATAATAATTATTCTCTAGTGACAATGACATGGCTATAAAACGGATTAAACTGTGTATTTTTATTTAACAAAAGTGAATATTATCATCATTACAATTACATAAATTACATTGCATAATTTATTTCTAAACATTGAAATTTAAAATTCAAAATTGTTGTTCTTACTTACTGTACTTTTTAAATTGTCATCAGTACTTTAGAAAAAGTTACTACTAAATCGTTCAATATTTAAATTAAAAAAAAAACAGTTAAAATATATATATATATATACTCATATATATATTTTTTAACTATTTTTTTTTATTAACAAATCTGCCTGTAAGCATAAGAATATTTTACATTAATATCATCTAGTATGGCATAGCAGAACTACATGTAAGAAAAGCACATCTGATTTATAAACTACATGTCCAAATCACCAGATGTCGCTTTTCTGGTACGAAAATAATTAGCAACCTTTGGATAGGTCATAAATTATAATAGTTTAAAAGCACATTAACAGATGGAGCTAGGTTTAAACTAGTATGACGCAATTTGTCACTAGATGGCAGTGTTACTTCCGAGCGTGAGTGTCATCTGGTGGCGGGAAAGTAAGTTAATTTTAAATAAATGCATTTTACTCTGCTCTGTTACCAAAGTTCAACCAGTTCACAAGCTAACCAAATCAAGTAAACACAAACGTGTTACAGCGGTCTTTACTTAGTCATTAGTTCGCCGTGCTTGTATTTGGTTCGTTCGGTTGCTTCTCTCTAAAAATATCTTCGGATTCCGTGTCTCAAAACTACTGCAGTTTTCAATGACACTAAATATGAAACAGATTTTTATGTGACGGTACAATTTTATAAAGGCTAGTTCATCGAATCTGACACAAGTTTTGATATAATTAACTTTAGTTTGTTTATTTTGTTGTGAATTCGCGGTAATCCTGTCGTGTGTCGCTATTGTTTGTGAATGGATATGAATTTGATGTTATATCTTTGAAAGGATGTTGTCATAACCATCCGTCCGTGTTTCTAGGAAAACTATTTCGTATTTCATGGGATTAAACAACCGGTAAGTTTTAGATTTGATTAAATGCGCGAGTGCGTATTTTTAATGGTATCAACATCCATAATGTGTCTATCTATTTTTTATATTAGAATGAAAGAGGATAGTTATAGAAATAAAATTAGATTTAAAATAGGTATATTAACTCCCAAAAATACCTTCTGCTTGTCTAGTCCACCACAAATCTTTATGAGAATAGAAAAAATACACTTATGCGATTTAAAAAATACTGTAGAATAGATAGGTTTTGTTATCCTACATAAGTACAAACTTTTAATTGGTTTTTGATTAGGTAGTAGTACCTACAGTACAGGCATTTATTTAACAATTTATCTAATCATCCAACTATCCAATACATCCACAAATTCTTACACAAAAAATATATAAATTAACAACAAATAGGTACACAACTTATTTCTAGCATCAAATAATTATTACTACTAATAATTAATATGTCTAGATATAAATAGGTATTATTAGGTAGATTTCCGTTTTGTATAAACATGCCAAACAAAGTCGTGGTATAGTGACTTTGTTTGGTTTCTCATGATTCTCATTTTGGTCATATTTGAAAACTATTCTTTTATATATTAGTTAAGTATCTACGTACATTTCAAGTACAAAATACTATAATAGTTTGAATGTTTTTAAGAAATTTTGAAAAAAAAAAGATTTACAGTATCAAATTATTTGTATTATTTTCCATTGAATCTCTTTTTTGACGATACAGGTGCTCACGAATAATTAATTTGAATCTTAATTTATGTAATGAACGACTTTAATAATTCAGAAATAATAAAGAATTCGTGATATCAGATAAAAAACAATATATAAATGCCTATAAAATTGTAATAATAATAATATAAAAAAATATTCAATGTTATTATATTTAATTGGTGTACCTACTAATTTTCGTCCTTTTTTCAATAAATTCCTATTACCTACTTGTTCATTTAACTGGCCGTACCTATCTTCTATTAACAAGCAGAATTTAATAGCTATCTCTACTACCAAACATTAGAATAACTATCTTTCGTAGTAAGTAAGTACCTACAGGTACTGTTGTTACATGTTTTGTATGGTTGCTAGCCGAGACTCCTATAACACTTAATATATTCTGTTCCGAAGGTCTTTACTTTACGGAACAAAAAACAAAACAGACTAATAATTAAGTACTTACTCATGGGTAACTGTTCTCTACCTTTGTACAACGCAACTAATCAGATAATGTGAATTGAAAAAATAGGATCGAGATTTGAACCCTATACAGTTTAGTAAACTTAATACATACATTTGCTACTTACCTAAGTAATAATAAATACTATTAGTGCCCTAATCACCTAGCATTTAATTTGATAGAAATAGCGATTGTTTATGCTCACCATACAGTATCGCAAGACCCACCCGCAACATTCTGCTATTTTTTTTGTCGGTTCCTAAAGGTAGTGTGCTATTTTTTTTATTTTTTTTATTAATTTTATTTGTCTCTCTACTGTTTTTATTATCGCATTTAGTGTGCTATTATATATCGTTCCTCAATCACGCAGCTACAAAATACATAATATATTTCTCTTATTCGACTGATAGTTACAGACATTATCGGGCACTAGTAGGAAAACTGTTCAGAATAGAAAGAATAGATTAGAAAAATCTGTATTCAAATAAACTTCATTTAAGCATGTTTGAACAGTCACATTTTTTACTGTATCACTCATTTGGAATGTAGACTCATCTCAAAACTGAGCCAGAAATTTACATGGTGTTTTCAGTAAATACACATTATCAAGGATTAGGCATTCGACAATCATGACAACAATGAGATGAGATGAATATTTAACTTAGATTTTTTCTACAAAAGCATTATTATCATTTATATTTTTTTTTACTCTAGAATTCTTCTTCTTCAGTTATTCACTCTTGACAGAGTGATCGTAGCTTTTATGATGGTACCTCTTCGTTGTCCTCTTTGGCGACACAGCTCCTAGCGTGATGCCTCTATGATGCGGTTTTTAAAAAATATTGCTGTACGAAAACATTGTACAACAGACTGCTGTGTAGCAGTTTTTAAAAGGTCAGTCCATCAGAGTTGGTGACCGATACTCTAGAATACTCTAGAATCTTTTAACTAGTATAAATGATCATATATGCAGTGTAATAACCATCTTAGGTATAACGAACTTTACGGTTCACATGTTCTACACGTAACTGAGTAAGTACACGTTCAGTGGAGTGTGTCTTGTTGCCATTACGGAAAAAAACTTACAATGCGTTCCCGCCGTCTCTCATTCCCAAGCTGGATAACGGGTAGGCAGCATTGAATTTAAATTAGGTACCTACCGCATTATGGAATGGGAATTGCATATGATTAAGTTTGATATTATCTAAACAGTAATTCCACTGTCGGGGGTATAATTAGATACTGAAATCATGCATACTATTATTATATATGAGAATATCTATCCGTTTGTTACCTCTTCACTACTATATGGCTGACCGAGAAGAAATAGACATCAAGTGGCTCTGGTCCATAATTATTTTTATAAATATTTATATTATTTTAATACCCTTTTTTTATATTTATATACACGTATATATAGTGATCCCGCTGTAGTCACAGAGAACGGATACAGGCTATGATCACAAAAAAAAATGCAGACGAAATAGCGCTGGTAAGAGTTACTATATATAAGAAAATCTAAGTTTTTAGTTCTTATAATGTTACAAATACACAGAGAGACACATTTTATAATTTATACTATTATTGAGCGGAACGCGAAGCGCGGAGGGATCTTAGAGATCAGATTTGCTCTCTTTGTGACGATAGTTCTCCGAAACGGCTTGACCAATCGAGACCAAAATTTCGTCGAGGGCCGAACTTCAAGTTTCGACCATCGGAATATTTTTGAGTGGTAAACGATGGAGCATTTACCATTAAACAAAAATCCGATCTGTCAAGGTCGAGTTTTAGAATAAATGCACTCCGCTCAACATGTGACCTGGTGTGTAAACAACACACCGATAACAAACCTAGTTATGGATAGTAACAATAAACTCTAATTACGCTATTTGTTTTGTTAGAGTCTGTCACGGCGGATATAATGTACACATGTAGGTATGTACAGTACAAACACTAAATCCTAACATAACACCAAAATGCTAAATCAAACATATTGCACACATATGTCTTCATAAATATTTATATGAACAAGAATTTTACAATTCTCAATGTCACACGGAAGGTGGTCCAAGGCAACCAATACAAAAGTTAATTCAACAGTCACATCTAGATTGTAACTATTTGTTTACAATATCGAGTCATCAATATACTATAATATACTTGCGACAGGACCCGGGTACTCATAGATTTTTATGAAAAATACCATATAATATTTATTTTATAGCTTTAAATATATAAAATTCTCATGCCACAATGTTAGTTACCATAACCATCAGAAACGGCTCGACCGATTTTTATGAAATTTTATATGCATAATCAGTAGGTCTGAAAATCGGCAACTATCTATTTTTGAAATCCCTTAAAATAATGAATTACTGTTAAGTTAAAATACTTTATGTATATATATCAAGATTTTTTTTTCATTGTCCAGTAAAGTGCTGAAGGCTCTATAGCCGTAGATAGCATTAGAATATTCCGAAAAAATCGTGTAAACCTTTCCAGTACCTGAAATAAGTACTTACACAAACACTTCAGCGTTATAAATTTGTCAATTTATATTCCACTTAGTGACTTGAGTAATCAATGGAAAATTTTGATTCCATAATGTAATTAATTGCAATTTATTCCGGAAAATTAATTTTCATAACCAACAGATATTTTCTGTTAAATTTGACCATGAATGCATTTCCATCTTTAGCAGACCTTGCCTGTTGGAAGTCACCCTTGCAAAACCGCCGTTAGAGACTAAGAATATTCGTTTTGCAACAATTCTTTCAACCTTGGTTCCGTTAATGCCTGAAACGAAAATAAATTTGATATTATTTGTAATAATGTTCATAATGAAAATATCATTAAAATGTAGACCTAACGTCATTCGACATTCTGTCATTAATAATCCCAATACCCCACCTTAATAAAATTAGAACGAAAAAACAGTGTATTGCTTCATTGTCAAATATACTTCAAAATTTCACTACAATATTTTTTAACTAAATCTTAATAAAAACTGTTTTGCGTGTGTGTTTTTGCTTATCACACATAAAATACAGTAATAAAATAATTTAGAGACTGTGTGAGCAAAGGTGGACTTTATTCCAAGATTTATCTTAACGTTTAAAGAAGAACGTTTTAAGTACTTAACTAGAGATAAAACAACGAATCGTTAAAATTTAGTGCATAATTACGAAATCACATAACATAACTACACACAAGTAATAAACTGTTAAAATATTAATAATAATAGACTCTTTTATTAATATTTTAGACTACAGTTGCTTCGACGGACTAAACACATCATCGTTCCTTAATTATTTCAGGATAGGATGGAGGTCGGAACCAATAACAACTACCTAGAATATACCTTTTTACCTTCATTTTAAAACTAGAACTAATATCATATAATATGTTGTACCTATATATGTATGAAACATTCCGAGTATAGTTACACTACTCACGACCTTTCTCAGAACTCTCAACATTTTTTTGTTGTTAGCTCCTAGCAACAAATATACAAAATATCTTGATATCAAATTTATGTTAGCGAGGTAGACAAAATTTTAAATGAAGGTCAGTAAAATATATTAATGAAAGTCACACCCAAATCGGTTAAAGCGTTTCTGACATTAGCGAACACAAACATATATACTATATATAGATAAAAAATTCTAACATAATTGTAGAGACTCTGTTATAAATTCCACAAATAGATTTTTAATATTTAATAAATATATATTATGTACAGACAACGATCACCTACATTTTTATTATATAACAAATATGTACAGATAAAACTTAAACAAATAAATAGACTTTCGCCAAACAGATGTAA